CTTCCTCCCTCTCCCAAGTCGCCTCAGACTCATCGTGTCGGCTCCACTGCACCTTCACTAAGCTCACTGCCCGGTTCCTCAGCAGGTGGACCTTTCGGTCTAAGATGACTGTCGGTACCTCCTCGTAGGTAAGGTCTCGCTCGACCTGCAGCTCGCCGAAGTCCACCACATGATTAGGATTATGCACGTACCTCCGAAGCATCGAGACATAGAATACGTCGTGCACACCTAACAAGTCTGGTGGTAAAGCCAGCCGATACGCCAAGTTCCCGACTCGATCGAGGATCTCAAACGACACGATATAGCGAGGTCTAAGTTTCCCCTTCTTCACGAAGCAAATTACACCTCTCATGGGTGAAACCTTCAAGAAGACATGATCTCCCACTGTATAAACATTCTCTTGCCTCTTCAGGTCGATATAGACCTTCTGCCTCTTCTGGGCAGACCTGATAGTCCTCCGGAATTCCTCAACTGTCGCTGCAGTACTCTGGACAAAATCCGAACCCGTAATCCTCCTCTCTCCAACCTCATCCCAATACAAAGGAGTTCGGACCTTACATCCGTACAAAGCCTCGTACGGGGCCATCTTGATCGAAGAGTGGTAGCTGTTGTTGTATGTCAGCTCGACTAGCGGAAGGGCGTACTCCCAAGTCAGGCTCCGATCCAAGACCACAGCCCTCAATATATCCTCCAAGTACTGGATCGTACGCTCCGACTGACCATCTGTCTCGGGGTGAATGGCTGTACTGAACTCCAACCTCGTCCCCATGGCTCGATGCAACGTCCTCCAGAACTGGCGTGTGAACTTGGGATCTCGATCAGAAACAATCTTCACGGGCACCACATGAAGCTTAACAATGTCCTTGACGAACAATTCGGCGTAATCACTCGCCTTCATGGTCGTCCGAACTGGCAGAAAATGGGAAGACTTCGAAAGGCGATCCACTATCACCCAAATCCAATCATGCCCGGCCTTCGACCTCGGCAGTCCTATCAAGAAATCCATGGTGATGCACTCCCACTTCCACAGGGGAACCTCAAGGGGCTGCAACAACCCTCTCGGTTTCTGGTGCTCAGCCTTCACTTGCTGACACACTAGGCACCCATCCACGAACTTCGCTACCTGCCTCTTCATGCCTTGCCACCAGAAAGACTTCCTCAGGTCCTGATAAAAATCTCCTTTCGAAGTTCCCACACCTTCGGGACACAAAGTCTACCCTCGAAGACCAAGGCCCCATCAGATGCGACTGCGAATCCACCAATTCTACCGGCTTCCGACAACTCTCTCATCTGGTATAGGAAACGATCATTCGGCTGCTCGGCGACTATCCTCTCCCGAAGAGTCAGTCCCATAACCAAGGCGGTCAACATACCCCCGGCTGCTAAAGTCGACTCCACTGCCTCTAGCTGTAATCGCTCGAACTCCAGAAGAAGGACATCCTGCCCGGTGAACAAGCAAGATAGCTGGCCATAACTCCTCCGACTAAGGGCATCGGCTACCACATTAGCTTTCCCAGGGTGATAGTTAATGGTGCAGTCGTAGTCCTTGACTAGTTCCAACCACCTACACTGCCTCATGTTCAGCTCATTCTGAGTGAAAATGTACTTTAGGCTCTTATGGTCAGTAAAGATCTCACACTTGCCTCCATAGAGGTAGTGCCGCCAAATCTTCAAGGCGTGGACACCTGCAGCTAACTCGAGATCATGAGTGGGGTAGTTCTGCTCGTGAGGCTGCAGCCGCCTGGAAGCATAGGCTACGACTTTTCCCTGCTGCATAAGGACACATCCCAAACCCATCTTCGAAGCATCACTATAGATGGTGAACTCCAAAGTAGGGTCGGGTATAGATAGGACAGACGCGGTAGTGAGTCTCCTCTTCAACTCCTGGAAACTCTTCTCGCACTGAGGACTCCAATCAAAGCTCACGGCCTTCTTCGTAAGGTTAGTCAGTGGCTGGGCTATCTTCGAGAAGCCCTCGATAAACCTCCTGTAGTATCCTGCTAACCCCAGGAAACTACGATTATCCGCGGCACTTCTTGGCGTATCCCACTTGCTCACTGCCTCAATCTTGCTGGGAACCACCTCAATGCCTCGAGCTGTCACAATGTGGCCAAGGAATGCCATACGGTTCACCCAGAACTCGCACTTCGAGAACTTAGCATACAACTTCTCGCGGCGAAGAGTCTCCAACATAATACTCAGATGCTTCTTGTGCTGGTCAATATTTTGGGAGTAGACCAGAATGTCGTCGATGAACACAATGATGAACTGGTCCATGAAGGGATAAAAGACCCTATTCATACGGTCCATGAAAATGGTTGGGGTGTTGCTGAGTCCGAACAACATGACTACGAACTCATAGTGGCCATAGCGGGTACGAAAAGCAGTCTTAGAAATATCTGACTCCAGGATCTTCAGATGATGATAGCCAGAACGCAAGTCAATCTTTGAAAAGACGCTGGCTCCTCTCAGCTGGTCGAAAAGGTCCTCAATAAGGGGAAGAGGGTACTCGTTCTTAACTATAAGGGCATTTAACTCCTGATAGTCAATCCACATGCGCATAGATCCGTCTTTCTTCTTCACGAATAGGACGGGCGCACCCCACGGCGAGACACTCGGACGAATAAAAGCGAGCATGAGAAACTCCTGGATCTGGGCCTTGAGCTCTTGAAGCTCCTTCGGCGCCATGCGATAAGGGGCCTTAGAAACGGGGCCGGCTCCTGGAACTAGGTCAATGGTGAACTCCACCTGGCGGTCCGGCGGTCCTCCGGGCAAATCGTCAGGAAAAACGTCGAGGTACTCGCAGACGACAGATACTCTCTTGGGTACTCGCTCATCAACAACATCGGATACCAAGGAAACAAGATAGCCTTGACAGCTACCCTTGGAAAGGCTCTTCCTAGCTTGCATAGAAGAGATGACTCGAGGCACAGTCCTTGACTTCATCCCATAGAACACAACAGGCTGATCAGAGATGGGAAAGAGGGTGACTTTGCACTCCTGGCGCCGGATATCGGCTCGATAACGAGTGAGTCAGTCCATGCACAAGATCACGTCAAAGTCTCGCATTTCAATTACATACATATCGGCCTCCAGAACTCGACCACCAATACAAATAGAAAGATTGCGAACCACCGAATCAGAGATAATAATTTTTCTGAAGGCTAGACTAACCTCGAGAGGATCACAAGAACTCACAGTTCTAATAGACAAGGCCTCCAAGCAACGAGAAGAGATAAAAGAATGGGTAGCACCGGTATCACTCAATGCAAAGATAGGCACGCTGGAGATAGAAAGCATTATGGACATAGTACCTGTGTTGCGGGCAGCCTCATCGTGGGTGATGGTATATACTCGGGCCTGTCCCCCAGCCCTCTGCTGGAACGGTGGGGGCTGCTGCTGCTGATGAGGTGGCGGTGAGGGAAGCTGCTGCTGCTGAGGGAAGTACTGCTGCTGCTGTTGCGACTGAGGGAACTGATCTTCAGCTGATGATAGCCAGAACGCAAGTAAATCTTTGAAAAGACGCTGGCTCCTCTCAGCTGGTTGAAAAGGTCCTCAATACGGGGAAGAGGGTACTCGTTCTTGAATGTAAGGGCATTTAACTCCCGATAGTCAATGCACATGCGCATAGATCCGTCTTTCTTATTCACGAATAGGATGGGCGCACCCCATGGCGAGACACTCGGACGAATAAAACCGAGCTTGAGCAACTCCTGGATCTGTGCCTTGAGCTCTTGAAGCTCCTTTGGCGCCATGCGATAAGGGGCCTTAGAAATTGGGCCGACTCCTGGAACTAGGTCAATGGTGAACTCCACCTGGCGGTCCGACGGTCCTCCGGGCAAATTGTCAGGAAAAACGTCGAGGTACTCGCAGACGACAGATACTCTCTCGGGTACTCGCTCATCAACAACATCGGATACCAAGGAAACAAGATAGCCTTGACAGCTACCCTTAGAAAGGCTCTTCCTAGCTTGCATAGAAGAGATGACTGGAGGCACAGTCCTCGACTTAACCTTATAGAACACAACAGGCTGATCAGAGATGGGAAAGAGGGTGACTTTGCGCTCCTGGCACCAGATATCGGCTCGACAACGAGTGAGCCAGTCCATGCCCAAGATCACGTCAAAGTCTCGCATTTCAATTACATACACGTCGGCCTCCATAACTCGACCACCAATACAAATAGAAAGATTGCGAACCACCGAATCAGAGATAATAATTTTTCCCAAGGCTAGACTAACCTCGAGAGGATCACAAGAACTCACAGTGCTAATAGACAAGGCCTCCAAGCAACGAGAAGAGATAAAAGAATGGGTAGCACCAGTATCACACAATGCAAAGACAGACACGCTGGAGATAGAAAGCATTCTGGACATAGTATCTGTGTTGCGGGCAGCCTCATCGTGGGTGATGGTATAGACTCGGGCCTGTCCCCCAGCCCTCTGCTGGAACGGTGGGGGCTGCTGCTGCTGATAAGGTGGCGGTGAGGGAAGCTGCTGCTGCTGAGGGAAGTACTGCTGCTGCTGCTGCTTAGGGAACTGCTACTGCCTCTTGGGCTCCGGAGAGACACTGGAATAATGGCCCGGACGGTTGCAGTTGAAACAGGTTCGCTGGTCGGCTAAGCACTCGCCACTATGGTACTTGCCACAATTCTTGCAGGTTCGATTGCCAGAAGAGGGATGATT